CAGACCTGAATGCTAACACGGGGCCAGCTGGTCAACATGCTGTCCCTGTGCATTAAGCAGGAGATGGCCTTGGGAAGCAGAGAAGAGTCCTGGGGTCAAAGGAAGCTGTTTTTACTGGTTATTCCAGGGACCTATTTCTCTGATAGGATTTGAGGCCCTTCAGAAGGCTTCTATCTTCCGCAGTTGGTCATCCCCAAATATGGGCCTGCGATTCTTTCTGAGATTTCACTATGGGTCACAGCTTTGGACTAGGACACTGCATGAGGGAGGTTCCTGTTAAAATGGCCACCATCACCAGATCGTGCTGTATGCGCGCATAGCCTGTTAACACAGTGGCACAGACTGACGGGAGGGCTCGTCGGCTCGCTCTTAGCAGAGATTTGAAGGAATGGGATGTACAGAGGACACACTTGGATGGGAAGACTGAACCTGGGCTCAGGGCTGGAGAGGCAATGATCGGGGCACTGATGGGGAGGATGTGTCCTTGTGTGGCCACCCAGAGAAGGATGTGGAGCTAGTGAAGACATGGGGCAGCAGTTTCAGAGGAGGGGACCAAAGGGCTTTGGGAAAGGGGGTGATGGGTACAATCTCTGCTGACTTCCTCTCTGCCCCCCTTCCTCGTCCAGTGCCCCAGTTCAGGACACAGCTTCTTCCCTAGTCGCCTGCCTTTTGTTCCCATCATTCCTTCACATGTAGCCTTTCCGAGGCTCCCCGGGTCTTCTTGAACAAACTCCATACCCTGGCTTTTAAGGCCTGTCTCTCGAGGATCTTGTCCCCCCCCGCCCCCCCGTTTTGCCTACAGACCTAGAAATATTCTCTGAACAACATCAAGGCGCGTGAAATGACAAGGACACGGTATCACGATGACTGGGGTACTGTGATTTTAAACTAAGACCTTTCTCACAAATCCGGGCTCAGGCCCATCAGGGCTGGGAACGGTCTGCAAGACACACTTTCTGACCCCCAGGTTCTCACAGGGCTTCCTTGGCTTTGAGGACCCTTTCCCCATCACCGGGCTCGCTGAGCCCCAGCATTCTGAAAGGCTCCAGGATGCCCCTGCAGTCTCAGCCTGGGACCCAGCCCCCAGGCTCCTCGCAGAATGCAGGTGGGCTCAGTTGGCCCTGGCGGAGGGATGAGGGTGCCATCTCGTGGCCGCTCGCCATCATTGCACCAAATGCAGACCCTTGACTCACCAATCCGCGGATCCTAAAGCTTGGGGGCTGGGAGGACCCGTTCTGCCAGCCCGCCTGTCCTGACACCCCACCCCTGCCAGGAGAGGCCACTGGGGGTGCACAGGGCCTCCTTCCAGGGAAAGAAGGTTTTAGCCCTTGGAAGGGGAAGATCTCGTTTGTTGGTCCTTGTCCTACAGGTCATGATGCCTCTCCTCCTCCTCCTCCTCCCCCCACCCCAGGGTTGCACCAACTCTGAGGCCACCAAGTAGGGTGCAATGTGGGTGGGAGTGCAGTGTGGGGTGGGAGATGAGGGTGAGCTTGGGAGGCAGGGAGGCCTGGGGTGATCAGCTCTGCCATCTCTTGGGGCCTCAGGTTTCCATCTTTATTTTTTTTTTAAAGATTTTATTTATTTATTTGACAGAGAGAGACACAGCGAGAGAGGGAACACAAGCAGGGGGAGCGGGAGAGGGAGAAGCAGGCTTCCCGCCGAGCAGGGAGCCCGATGTGGGGCTCGATCCCAGGACCCTGGGATCATGACTTGAGCCGAAGGCAGACGCTTAATGACTAAGCCACCCAGGTGCCCCAGGTTTCCATCTTTAAAAGAAGATAATTACTTATGCCCTGGAGGTTCCCTAAGAATTGGAGACATGGATGTAAACTCTTGGCACCTAATAGGTGCTAAAAATGACAGCTGTTAACATCATGAACTTGAATGGCAGCCGTACATCTCCAGGAGCGCAGTCCCTGCCAGGACCCCTGGGTGCTCTCATCATACACACACCTGGGTTGTGCTGTGCTGTGTTGCGGCCCACTTGTAGCCCCCACACCTACCCCCAGCCTGGGAGGTGGTCAGTGACAAGTACAAGATTATCTTCCACAGGGCCTGGCACCTATCTCAGGTCAGAGGCAAGTCCTGACACAGGAGCTGGGAGACCAGCATATAATGGATGAGAAGTTTGCCCACAAGTCTCCTAAGAGATGGTCGGTGAGAGAAGTGGGGTGGCCGGCACTCCCGAAGTTTCTCCCAGGAGAACCTGAGAGTTGAGACGCCAACCACGAGACCAGAGCACTGCACCACAGGATCCAAGCAAAGAGGTGCTCGTCCCCCCAGGGCCAGACACAAATGAGACCGAAACTGAGCTCAGAGTGGTGAAGTGACTTGCCCAAGGTCACACAGCCGATGGGAACAGATGCCTGGTTTGGTAATAGGTCTGCCTGCTCCCTCTGGCCAAGCTCAGGGCTGCCCACCCTTTTTGAAGTCAGGGGTATGTTAGTTTCTTGGGGCTGCTGTAATAAAGTTCCACAGACCAGGACGCTTAAAGCAACAGAAATGTATTCCCTCGATGTCCTGGAGGCTGAAAGACCAAAATCAAGGTGTCGGCCCGCCATGCTTCCTCTGAGACTCTGAGCAGAATCCGTCCTCGCCTCTAGCCAGCTTCTGGTTCTCAATCCTTGGCCCTCCGTGGCCTCCTGCTTTCACTCCGGTCTCTGCCACCACTCTCCCTGTGTGTCTCTGTCTCATACGGCATTTCCTCTTATAAGGACACCAGTCACACTAGATTAAGGGCCCACTTTCACGGCCTTATCTTAACTTGGACTACATCTGCAAAGACCCTATTCCAAATAAAGTCACATTCACAGGAGAAGAACATATCTTTCGGGAGCGAGGGGCACAGTCCGACCCATAATAGGGAAGAAACTAAGCTGTGGGGAGATCAGGCACAGAGGACGGAGCTGTGAGTTCCAGATTTGATGTTTCTTTGAAGTCTCAGTTTTTAATCTTAAACATTCCTATATTTTTAACACCATTCTCTATTGTAAGTTCATGTTTGTTTTAGTATGAAATAATATCTCTTCAGATCTTTGACACTTTGGTGAAGGGAGATGTTTATCCTATGGCTTCATGAGCCTTCAGTGCATTTCCGAACTTTTTCAAGTGAATTTATAGCCCAATTGGAAAAGTATAAGCCAACATAAATTCACTTAGTTCCCCTAAGAACCCAGCGAGGTCGGTATATTTAACTGAAGAGGAAACTGGTTCATAGCGGTTAATGAGCTGCTGAAGTCACATCCTAACTGATCAGGGGCCAGGATCAGAACTCAATTCTCTGGCTGCCCGATCAGCTTTTCTACTATACACATCCGACCAAGGGGAGATGAGAGGAGACAGAGCATGTGTGCCCTCCCAACATTCCCACATTGAGGAGAGGGATTTTAATACTTGTGGAGAAAATCAATTCCATGAACTCCGAAACATGAACAGTTTTCTGCATGGCAAAACCCATAGCATTTTCATTAAGATAGAAAAGAAAACCCACTCACACCACTTTCAAATATTATATTCCCAAATATTCAGGTTAGAAACGCCCTTCAGAGTGTCTGTGTGAGAAGGAGGGGGAGCACTGTTACTAGTTCTGCTTGTTATTTGGAGGTTGCTTAAAAGATCATGAAGCGGGCTCTCTTTAGAGTGGTTTCCGGTCACTACAAGGGCGTCTCTAAGTGAAGCTCCTTGTTAGAGCGGCGTCACCACTACCTTAACCCCCCGCCCCCCCATCCAAGCAGCAAGCCTCCCCTGGACACCTGGCTGCACCAGGAGATTTGCCACTGAATGACATACACCCCTGGCCGGGTAGGAAGTCACACACGGAGAAGCAAGTGTCCTCGTACCCTAAAGAGGAGCAAACCCTCAAGCACGTGGTGGGGGGAGGCGCAGGGTAACCCGCGCTGTCAGCGTGTGGGCGCGGCTGAGTGTGCGAGTGTGCGGGTGTGCGCATGCGCATCTGAGTGGGCGTGCCCCTCCCCCCGCCCATCAGCCCCGTAATTGCCCGTCATGCCAGGCCCCGCCCATAATCTGCCTCCGTAGGGAGGGTGACGCCAGGGCACCTGCTGCCGACGCGAGCACCTGCCGGGTTGCCCTGCGCCTTTCCCAAGCCAGCCCCCAGGGGAATCCGGGCTGGGACACCTGGACACCCTGTCCCCGCCCTGGGGGTGTGCGCAGCCTAGTCCCACCTTCCTCCGCGTTGCCAGGCTGGGCCCAAGCAGCCTGTGTCCCTTTTTGCTCCCCGAAGCCAGCGACTTTGTCTGGGGGTTGTGTGAGCCCCTGGTTTTCACCCACAGATCCCAAGGGGTCCCTAGGCGGGATTTGCTAGAGGAAGGAGATGGTTAAGGCGGCGCCCATTCTGGGTGGATCAGGGTGAATCTGGCCTGTGTGGGAGGCTTTTGTTTCTCAGTTACACTATCTCACTGGGTGAGGTAACATCTACTACTATTTCTGAGTATCTGTGTGAGGCACGGGAGCGCCCACGACGGACACTGTTGCTAATCCACTCAACAGGAAGCGCAAGGCAGGAATTAGCTGTTTGGTTTTGCAGAGAGGTTGGGTAACTTGCTCCGGGTCCCCCAGCCAGGGAGTGGCGGAGCAGGGCTGCCTGCTACACCCTGTGGCCTCTTGGCGATTTCAGCTCCTTGGTCCTGCCCTGGGAGAGCACAACCACTAGCCAGCGGCCACCCTGGGGACCGAGTGAGTGCCCACCAAGTGGCTTCTGGAGCCCAAGGCCAGTGCCCCCAGCTGAGCTGCAGGGGCAAGCCAGGAGAAGCACAAGCAGCAGGTGCCAAGGAAGGGTACCCAGGAGGAGTCCAGGGGGCCCAGGGGCATCTGGGTGGAACCCGGACGGTGTCTATTACAGGGAGCAAGCTGAGGAAGGGGCCAAGGGCCGGCCAGGTTGATCCTCGGACCTCAGTGTGCGCCCACTCTGACTTTATTTCCATGCCCTGCCAGCCCATCTCCAAGCCTGGGCCTCTTGCGCTGTTTTCTCCAGGGACTCTTACCGTGGACTCCCGTGGAAGGGAGGGGATAGTCTCTGTCCGGGCTGCCGTCCTGCTCTGCGGGCCCTTATGCCAAACTTTGGTTTCACGTCGGTCCCTTTGCCTTCATTTGCTTCCAAACAGTCTGTGAACGCTCACTCACTGTTGTCTCTTTGTCTTTGTGTCTCCGCCATCCTCCAGGGGCTGGGGGAACCGTGGGTGATACACACGTGGCCCAATCCACTGCCGCGCGGGGAGCCAGTGCCCTAACTCTTCTCCCATCAGCCCGCCTGGGACCGATGCCATCCCAGGGTCAGAGGCAGAAGCGGAGTTGGGGTTTGGAGCCAAGGTTCTGAGTCAAGCAGAGACAGGGCTTGAGTGAGAAGTCAGGGTGGAGGGCCGAGGCTCCACGTGACTGCCAGGCCGGCCTGAGAAGTGGGCAGGCCAGCCTGGCCAGCACAGAGCACACAGAAGATGGGGCAGGGTGGTGGGGCAGGGCTGCCCTCGGAGGCCAGGCCTCAGGCTGTAGGGTCAGGACACACCCTAGATGAGCAGGCCTGAGGAAGCTGGAGGGAGGGGGTCAGCCGTGGAGCTCCAAGCACCTCAGGAGAGATGGGGGTGTGTGAGGGGCTTGGTAGGCATGGCAGGCGGTGTCCTGGAGCTGAGGCAGCAGAAGCAGTACCTCCTGTGGTCGGGACTGAGGGTGAGCTCTGCTTTGGAGCAGAAGCTGTTGGTCCACAGCCCTCCATGATGGCTCCTGGTCAAGGTGGGCCGTCGGCACTGCAGCCCAAGGGGAGGCTAAGCAAAGGCCGTGGGTTGGGGAGAAGAGACCAGTGAGCACAGGTCACATAACAGGAAGAAAATGAGACCGATCGTCCAAGGGCTCAAGGGAGTGTCCCTGTGGAGGAAGCCACCCAGTGGCAGGGGGGTAAAAAAGCATGGCAGACTTTCCTTGGGGAAGCCTAGAGACCAGAGGGCTCTGCCCCTTGTGGGAGACTCTCAGAGGAGAGCCCATTTATTCAGAGTTCCATTAAGATTCATCTTTGACCACCACGGTGGGGAGAGGCAGCCTGTGGGTGTAGCCACAGAGCCCACGCCGGGACCCTCTACAAAGCCCATCCTTAAACTCATCCTCTGGTGTGAAGGAACATTGAGTGAACAGCCAATGCGGGCAGGTCAGGGAGGGGCAGTGCGCCGCCGGAACAGACAGGCATGCTCCCTCCTAGAAAGGCTGCTGCAGGGCCTGGCCCTCTCAACCTTGAAGGACTTACCCACCAGAGCCTCTGGATGCCAGTCTTGCAGGCTCAGAACCAGATTTGTCAACTTGCCAAGACGGATCCTTCTCTCAGAGAGTCATACTGACCCAGTTCACATGACTGATGTATAAAATGTCAACACATCCTTTTCTAATGAGAAATGAATGTCCTAAAGACCAACTTTTTTGCCTAGGCGTGATTAGTGCATTTTTATTTCTAGGAAGCAGAAGTTCACTTGATGAAAATGGAATCAGAATGTGGGAGTTGGACCACTTGGATATTTAATGGCATCAGACTGTTCCAGCCTATGGAGTCAGTTCCTTGACGGGGTTGACTTTGCCAGCCGGTCAGCCAGATAGTCTCGAGTTGGCTTAACTAAGCTCCTTGGATGGTGTTTGAGGGGTGTGGCCAGCTTTGGCCCCTGTTGTTTCTCTTTTTCCTATTTCCATGCTTGAACAAGCTCTTAGCCCTACCAATGAACACTTTTTAAGAAATAGCATTTTTTAAAAATTCAATCAAAAGAGAAAAAGTCTTTCATTCTGTCCTATCAGGGTTTTTTGATGGCAAGAGGTGAAACTTTGGTTAATGTAAGCAAAAGTTAATTTATTGGAAGGATATGTGAGAGACTGTATTTGGGTTCTCCAGAGAAACAGACTGAGGCTGAGAGAGAGAGAGAGATTTATTTTAAGCAATTGTCTCACAAGGTTGTGGGGGTTAGCAAGTTCAGATTTTGCAGCAGGCTGGCAGCCTGGAAACTCAGGCAGGATTTCTCTGTGGCAGTCTTTTTCTTTTTTTTTTTTTAAGATTTTATTTATTTATTTGAGATAGAGAACAGGGGGAGGGACAGAGGGAGAAGGAGAAGCAGACTCCCCGGGGAGCAGGGAGCCTGATGTGGGGTTTGATCCCAGGACCTCGGATCATGACCTGAGCCAAAGGCAGCTGCTTAATGACTGAGCCACCCAGGCACCCCTCTCAGTGACAGTTGAGGAGAACTCCTTCAGTCTGTCTCGTTCTCACATTTTAAGTTCTGGAGGCCAGAAGTCCAAGGTGAAGGTGTCAGCAGGGTTAGTTTCTTCAGAGGGCTGTGAGGGAGGGTGTGCCCCAGGTGTCTCTCCTTGGCTCATAGAGAAAACTGTCTTCATGTTTTCTCAGGGTCTTCTCCCGATACGTGTGCCTGGGTCCACATTTCCCCTTTTGCAGAGATACCAGTCATACTGGATGAGGGTCCCACCCGCCTGCAGGACCTCATCTTAACTTATTCTATCTGCCATTATCCCATTTCCAAATAAGCTCACATTCTGATGTCCTGGGGGTTAGGACTTCAGTATATGAATTTGGGGGAACACAATTCAACCCATCACAGAGATAAATTCAGAGGAGAGTAGAGGACCAGGCTTGGGCACAGCTGATAGCCACGGTGGTTCTAGAGGCTTTGGAGCGGGCCTCCCCTCTGACTGGGCCAGCAGCTGCCTCTTAGCTTCCTGGGAGGGCTGGCCCACTGTGTCCAGCAGTTCTGTTCCTCTTTCAAAATTCACATTCTAGGAGGGAACAGGTGGCTGGCCTGCTTGAGGCATGAGCCTGTCCCTTAGCCAGGCAGGAGGCAGTGGGGAGGTGAGGAGTGGCCGTCTCGGTGGTGGGGCCACCAGCATGTGTCCCGTGGGGGAGAGGCCATTCCCGTCTTTGTACACTGGGAGCTGTGAGGAAGAGGGAATGGAGGCAGATAGCAACTACATCCAGCCCTGTCTCCCTCAAGAGGCTGTCACCCCTCCACCGAGGTCCGTGTGTGTTGACTTCATAGCCTGGTTCTCAGAGAGGTTTCACAGATGTGGACTCTGAGGCTCAGAGGTTTGAGCAGCCAGAGGCCTGGCTGGGAGCCAGCAGGCCCAGGTGGACCGGACGGCCTTGGGTCAAGCCCTGGGCTGGGGCCAGGCCTCTCTTACAGGGAACATTTGGGCCAGGTGAGCTCTCAACACCTTCTGGTCTGAGTATTGATACTTGCAGGGTGTGTGGAGAAACCTCTGGGCTGGGCCTCCTGGGCCGTTGCTCTAGCTGATGAGCCCCCCTTTTCTAATCTCCTAAAAAACAAATGCACACCCATTCTGGTGTCAGGGAGGAAGCTGAGGCCATATTTCAGGGTGGTCTGGCACCATAAATGCAGCAGGCTGTCAGGACTTCTCTGCCAGGACTCAGGAGGACCCAGTGGGCATCCCTCCTGGGTGCACAGACTCTCCACCTGCTGGCCCAGGCCAGGCCTCCAGCGGAGGCCAGCACTCTGTGCTGCCCTGACTTCACAGCAGAGAGGTAAGGCAGAGCCCCCCCACCCCAGGCACGACCATGTCCCCACCCCCACCCCCACAGCCCAGCTTTTGCTCAAAGAGGACTCTACCTGTGACCAGCCCGCCATGCAGCCCCTCCGGGCACAGCCACAAGCCTGAAGCTCAGTGTCTGATGGGCCGCAGGGCTTGGGACACATCAGAGGAATCACAGAGGCAAAGATGTCTGAGTTGGAGGAGACTTCGAGGCTCAGAGAAGGGTAGGCACTTGGACAACGGGCAGCAAAGCAGAAGCTAGGCTTGTCCCTAGTCACCGACTTCTGCTCTCTGAATGTTTTTCAAATGCGATCCTCCTGAGTCCATTTAGGAGTCCAGGAATTCTTTTTTTTTTTTTTTTTTTAAGATTTTATTTATTTATTTGACCGAGAGAGACACAGCGAGAGCAGGAACACAAGCAGGGGGGGATGGGAGAGGGAGAAGCAGGTTTCCTGCCGAGCAGGGAGCCCGACGCGGGGCTCGATCCCAGGACCCTGGGATCATGACCTGAGCCGAAGGCAGACACTTAACGACTGAGCCACCCAGGTGCCCCAGGAGTTGAGGAACTCTTTACAAAGAATTTTAATTAGGCACTTGTAATCCGAGAAAAATCTAAAAAGAATATCATTTGCATGTTCTGGACCATCCTGACAAAGCTCTTATAATGGGGGGCTTGGGGGGTGACTGCCATGGCCTGTCAGGGCCCCCACCTTGCTTTGAGGCTGTTGGACCTGCTGCAGGCTGACAAGAACTGAGAGAAGCCGGATGATGTCATGGCCCGAGGGAGGCCAGCAGGGAGGGCAAGGGCGGGGCACAGCCCTGACGGAGGGGGGCAGGCGCTGGGGCTCTGCGGGCTCCGAGGCCTGTGGGTTCCCAACAGCCTCTGGCAGCTCCTGAGCATGTGGCTTCTCTGACACAACCCTATGAGTCACGTCTCATCCTGGCTCAGCTACAGGAGCCCCAAGCCAGAGGCAGAATTTTCTAAGCTGTGTGGCAACAAGATCAGCCATCCTGAGAGAACTGGCTATGCCAAAGTTGGGGGTGGGGGTGCAACAGAAGTGGGAAGGCTCTGAGTCATCCCAGGGCAGCAAGAGAGCTGGGGGGTGGTGCTGGGACTGGAAGAGTCACAAAGAAGAACTGGCCCCAGACACAAACTTCACACCCTCCGTCCCAGGTTCTGACATTTTCCATGCCCCCCAATGTCTCTGTTGGGTGCTGCCCACTCCCTACTCACTGAGAAGCACCTAACACAGAGTTCTTCATTCGCTGACCCGAGGACAGCTCTGGGGCGAGAGGCTGAGCCAGGCAGATACCAGGAAGCCCACGGCAGCCCTCTGTGCCCCGTGTGAAGCTGGACTCCTCCGGGACAGGTGGATGTGCTCCCATGGCGGGTTGGTTCTCTGTGATGTTGGTCATGGGTTCTGTCTGGGCCTCTGAGAAGCCAGGCTTTGCCCTGCCCCAGAGGTGTTGACAGAGTGGCCTGGAAATCTGGGTCAGCAACGGGCAAGTCCCTACAGGTGGGCCCCCGGTGCCAGGAGAGAGAGGCCTGGCTCTAGGAAAGCTGTGAGCTCAGCTGGGGACCCAGACCCACTGGTATGACACATCTCATTTCCGTGCCCGCCCAGAAACTCTTTCTGTGGAGGCAGCACGAGGAGAGGACAGGAGTTTAGGAATCACCCAGATTCCGGACCCGGCTTGGAGGTCTGACTTTGTCACATAGTCCTCCATCCCCTGGGGCTTGGATCGGAACATCTT